GGTCCGTCGGCGGGCCGAGGCTGCGGCGCGGGCTCCCAGTCCGCGCGCCGCGTTAGGTGTTCACGTCCGTTCCCCTGACACTGGCAGGTGGCTGGAGGGAGGAAACCGCCGCTGCCACCGGCCCCGAGGGAGGCCAAGTTCGGCGGGGCCTACTTGTTGGGGCCCGGAGCCAGCCGGAGCCCAGAGCGGTCCCGCGCACCCCGGGAGGCCCGGCGCCTGGGCTGCCAGTGGGCTTGCTGGCTCCCTCCGCCCCAGCCTGCTTCACTCACCCCACGAGGCGGTTTCCTTGCCAGTTTTGGGGAGTGCCGGATGTTGCCTGCTGCCTGCCAGCCTCTCCTTCCTCCCGTGGTGTAATAACGGTCTCCCGCAAAGTGCGGCGCCTCTCGGCGCGCACAGCGCTCTTTGGAGCTGCTTGCCGTCCTCCTTCGGGCAGGCTGGAAGGTGCAGAGTTTCGGCCCAGTATCCCAGCGAGCAAGTGGAGTCTCAGGGCCCGGTGATACTCTGTGCAAGGACTGGTTTTCCGACTCCAAACCCATGGCGCCCGCGCCATTCGGACGAGTAGGAGGAGTAGGAGCGGGGCCTGAGAGGCGCAGGACCCGTGGCGTGGCCCTGCGTGGGTGACCCTAGGCCAGCCATTCTGCCCGGCGGCCTGGCCTTGCTCCGTGTGCCCGGGAGCGCGCCAGGCCTAGAGAGGGGCGGCCTGGATGCCCGTGCAGCCCTCAGAGGCCTCGGGTAGTTTTGCCTGGGGAAGAGGGAGCCAGCCCTTCCACCCCCACTAAGGGTAAACCCACTTCCACCCATACCGCAGAGTTTTGTTACTACAACTCTGACCAAGTAGAGGGGCCAGCCCCCCACCCCAAAGATGGGACCATGAAATCTTTAAAATTGCTACCAGGGTGGCAAAAAGTAACGTTTCATCAAGGATGTATTGTTCCGAGCCCTGCTGTTTGGCTTCATTGTTATTAGAACAAATAGCATCCCCAGCAGGGCTCAGACTGCCCAGTGTCTCCAACGGAGGTACCGCGGTACTTTGGAGTTAGTGGCATTTATCAGCCGAAGATAAAGGGATTTAAAACTAAGAAGGAGAGTAAAACAGTTTGTTCTTCGCAGTTTTCACTGTTCATGCCTCCCCAAGCCCCCTGGGGGCCCCGGGGACCTGGGGGGAGTGTGGGGGGCTGGCACCCAGCCTCAGAGCCCCCAGGGGCTGAGAGATTTCTCTCTAGCCTGTTCAGAGTTAATTTTTATGCGTCAGTGATTTGAATTCCTTATTTCACGCTTAACTTTAAAGGGTTAACGTGTAATGATTTCAGCTATATTTCAGAGTTTTGGAGGATGAAAAGGTTTAAGGAGATTGGTGGGCTTAATATTCACGTTCCAGGGTGCTGCGACCCAGGGCTTTTGCTAAACTAAAGGATCAATTGTGCTTTTTATTCCAGGTGACAGAATTAGTCCTCGATAACTGCCTGTGTGTCAACGGGGAAATTGAGGGCCTGAATGACACTTTTAAAAAACTCGAGTTTCTGAGCATGGCTAACGTGGAACTGAGCTCACTGGCTCGGCTGCCCAGCTTAAATAAACTTCGAAAGGTAAGTTGGCGTTGGGTGTGAAAGCCTCTTGACTCCCCAGTCAGTGACTGCTACATCTAGTTTGGGCCAGTTGAAACTACCATTATGCCTTTAACTAGAAGTTTCCAAGTTTTTGTACTTAAGGGGAAAAAAGGTTATGTAGGATTTTGCAATCAGCTTTAATAATGTTTTTAGAAATTTAAATTTGCTTTATGACAAATTAAAACCTACCAAATACTTTTTTGAAACCTAAAATCCAACTGTATACAACTGGAACCAAACCTGGGTTATGAAGCCATATAGGGCTTCTGATAGTGGGGATTTGTGACAGTCCCTTGAAGCCAGAGAGAATGACAGTTGCTTTTCTTCAAGTTGATACATTAAACAGACAAACAAAAACTTGGATTTGGGCTTCCTGGTGGCCTAGGGGTTAAGTCTCAGCACTACCACTGAGACAGCCTGACATGGCCTGAATTCCAGTTGATTCCCAGCCAGAGAACTAACAACCCCCAGGGCGCAGCAGACCTCTCCTGTCTCCCCCTGCTCCCCTCAGCAGTGTGTTTCAGTAAATCCACCTGCTCTGCCTCCCACTCTGTCTCTGGTGAATCCTCTCCCCCCCTGCATCTTTGACTTACACCCCAGTTCTTCTACTCAAAATAAAAAACAACCTTACAACAAAGAAAACAAAACAAAGCAGGAGCCCTCCCTGGTGCGCAGCGGGTTAAAGCGCAGCACTATGAAGCTGTCACAGCCACTGCAGCATCAGTTCGATCCCTGGCCAGGGAGGGACCCCTCCTGACCCAGCTGCTGCTCCCCTCAGCAGTGTATTTCAGTCAGTCCTCCTTTTCTGCTCTCCACTCTGTCTCTGGTGAGCCTCTCACCCCCACACCTGTGGCCTGTACCCCAGTTCTGTCTGCATGAATAAAAAAAAAGAACTTTAAAAGAAGAACATCTTTGATCTCTGTCCTAAGTATTTTGTTTTCTTCCCACGTTGACTCTATAGTTGGAACTTAGTGACAATATAATTTCTGGAGGCTTGGAAGTCCTGGCAGAAAAATGTCCAAATCTCACCTACCTCAATCTGAGTGGAAACAAAATCAAGGATCTCAGCACAGTAGAGGCGCTGGTAAGTGGGAGGCTTTGTCTCTGGACTTGCTTCTCTGAGCTTCCCCAGACGTGTGTGTTTCAGCTGGCTGACTGCACTCTCGGGACACTTCCAACTTTCTCACATGTTGTGATCCTGATGGATGGTTTCTGCTTTCTTTTCCTTTGGAGTAAAATTTAGAAGAAATTTTAAGCCATTATATCATCAACCTCAGGCGCTGAATGTCTGGTTTTAAGGTTTCCAGTCTTTGCCAAATTCCATTACTTTTCCTCCTTTATTTATTTTTTTAAGTTATTGGTCAAAACTGGTCCAAGGGGAGAAAAGGAGATAAAACTGAACTTGTTGCCACGATTAAAAAAAAGTCTGGAAGGAGGCTGAAGCTGTCGCCAGCGTTGGCTGAGGGTGTAGGCCTTGGTGCCGCCACTTCCACAGAGCTGGTTTTAGCCCCGCGCGGCTTGGGCGGAGAAGGGGCGGCCGGCAGCCCCCGGCCAGAGTAGAGTTCTCCTCGGGACTGACATGCCAGGGCTCACGAAGAGAGGGGCTGGCTTGATGTCATAACCTTTCATTATAAAGCTCTTACAAATCCAAATATCGTTCTCTCGGTTTCAAGTACATATTTACTTCACAGACTGAAAGAAATAACATGGCATTATAAACCTTGAATGTAAGTCTTAACTTTCTACTTTCTCAGCAAAATCTGAAAAATTTGAAAAGTCTCGACTTGTTTAACTGTGAGATCACAAACCTGGAAGATTACAGAGAAAGTATTTTTGAGCTGCTGCAGCAAATCACGTACCTAGATGGGTTTGATCAGGAGGACAACGAAGCACCAGACTCGGAAGAGGAGGACGAGGAAGGTAATCGTCCTGCATGCTCGGAAGTGTGTGATCGCAACTCCCAGTCTAGCTGTGCAAATCAGGTCGGGCCTGGATACTTAGGTGTGGGGCAAGATGTAGCAAGACAAGGAAATCAGAAAAACCAAGTCCTGCTCTTGTTTTTCTTCGTTCAGGTGTCTGTCAGCTTGAGGGAGTTGATTAAAATAACTTTAAGCCCCATGAAATTTTCTACCTATGTAAACTTGTGTAACCACCACTCGGGAAGTGGCAACTGTAAAAAACTACTTAAAAAATAAGCACTCACTGCAATAGTCTCTGTGACTGCCAGACGCAGAAATGACCCAAACGCCATCACCTGGTGCATGGGTTAACGACAGGTGCTATATTTTCCGATGGAAAGACATCAGCCACAAAAATGAAGTACTGATGCATACTCCATGAACTTGGAAGCACTCCACAAAGTGAAAGAAGACAGCATAAAAGTCTTCTCCATGTTCACGCAATGTTCAGACTAGGCTAATGCAGAGAGGGAGAAAGGAGATTTATGGTCGCCAGGACTGGGGCAGGAGGGTGGAGCGACTGCTAATGGGTGGGAATTTCCGGGGTGCGGGCAGTGGTGGAAAGGCCCCAGGGTTAGAGTGGACATACATTTTTAGATAAGTGGGTGACTGACAGCAGCTGTGGGACGGCTGTTAGAAAGGGGGCGCTCCTCACTGTACAGCAGGCCTCGATGGACAACCAGGGGCACAAAGAGATGCGGAGACCAGCAAGCAGGCTTTGAGAAGCCACACGGTCCCGCAGACTTCAGTGCGTGTGGATTTTGATGAAATTCTACACACTGGAAGAGTTTCAGTATTTAGGAACCATATTTCTCTAGCAGGAAATCTTAGAAAAGGAAAAGCTTTAAAAAATCAGCCAGTGTTTCCCACCCACTGGCCAAGGGTGACGTGATGGCGCGAGGGTGACAAGAGCAGCGGTCACTGGGGGGAAACCCGGTCGGGCCATTCTCTCCCACGGTGTCTGTTCATCCTCTCAATAACTTTAAAAGATGGAGATGAAGATGAAGAGGATGAGGAGGACGACGAGGCGGGTCCACCCGAAGGCTACGAGGAGGATGACGACGAGGAGGACGACGACGATGAGGAGGATGAAGCAGGGTCGGAGCTGGGCGAGGGGGAAGAGGAGGTGGGCCTCTCGTACTTGATGAAGGACGAAATCCAGGTGAATACGCGCCTCTCGGCCCTGGGGGCAGCTTCTCGGCACGGGCTAAGTGCTCTGAAGAGCAAGTTGCTGGAGATCTGTGGGGCAGATGCTCTCGCTCACCTGCTGACTACCCCGGTGTCTCTTCTTATTTCTTAAGATTGATTTATTAATTTATGTGTAGAAGAACACAGGTGCGGGGGTGAGGGACGCCCCAGAGACAGCGGGGAGCAGGACAGGTGGATTCAGTGCACCCACTGCTGAGGGGCAGCGGGGACAGGAGCGGCTGCTGCGCCCCAGGGTCCCTCCCTGGCGGGGATCGAGCTGAGGCCTCAGCTGAGACTGGACCCCTAGGCCACCAGCGAGGCCCCCCCAGATATCTTTCAGATGCTTCCTGTCAGCAGCACGGTGGAGACAGCTCACACGTTTCTCAGGCTTAGTCTGGCATTACCAGTGTGAGGTTCTACCAACTCCTGGCATTATTTGAGGGCCTCAGCAAGATAACATGACAAGCGTCCGGTTGCTGACGTGCAGATGCTCAGGACAGCTTTTCCTCCCTAATTATCGCTCACTTACCCCTCTGGGTGCGGCGTCACCATGGAGGCTCCTCGGTGCTCGCCGACTGCAGAGACCCTTCGTGTTTTCTGGTTAGTGCCAGGACTCCTGAGCGCCTCCCTCTCCAGCCTGCCTCCTGCTCTAGCCCCGCCACCTCAGCACCCAGCTCAGCTGTCGCACCAAGCTGTGTCTTGCCCCGTCAGCTCATGCTCACTCCCATGACAAGGCTTCTCGCGTGCATCGCGCGCGAACTTTGCTTTTTCTTACTGAGGTATAAAGCAGTGGTAAAGCATGCAAAGTGCAGGGATTGTATGAACAAGCCCAGGAAATTTACTTGTGTGTACCTGTGTGACCACCGCCCAGGTCATACCTTGGACACTGGAAACTTGGCTTGGCGTGGCCTCATGGGTAGAGCTAACTGTACTTTCGCCTAGACGACCACTCCTTTCTGTGCCCTCTGCACACCGGTGTGGCTCTGCGTCCTCTGTAAAGGCGCGTGCCCTCGGCCCCTTTCTGCTGGCGGTGAGCCTCCGGGAGGCCGTTCATCCTTGTGCCTCGCCTCTGTGTAGTGCCCTGGGGGCCGCAGGAGGCTGAGGGAAGGTCCTTACATGGGAAGACCATCTCTAGCCCCTGAGAGCTTAGATCACTTTCTCCTAATGTGAAATTTCTTTTTGTTCTCTTAATTTTTTTTTTTTTTTACTAAAAATACCTCTTATTTAAGCTAGAAATTGTGAGTGTCCTTGTTTGTGCACTGCGTGACTTTGACATTGATTAGACAGAGAATATGATCAATGGCACTTTTTCTCAGACGCCATTTTAAGTCTGGAGCTAGTGTGGAGAAAATAGGACTTAAACTTGTTTGGGGCCTCAGTGAGTTAGGAGCTACACAGTAATGAAAAACAGAACTTTTAAGTATTTTAGAGAAGAAAGTCAGCCTGCTCGTCTTCCATTGGCATACAACTTGGTTATTTCCTCTCTGTTTTAATTTATTTAGTGAAATAATAGACTCATGTTACTCATGTTATTTAAAAATAGCCTCAGGGCCTCCTTGGTGGCCTAGGGCTTAAGCCTCAGCGCTGTCCTTGCTAAAGCCAGAGTTCAATCCCCGGCCAGGCAGTGACCATAGCGCGCAGCAGACCTCTCCTATCTCACCCGCTGCTCCCCAGCAGTGGACTTCAGTAAATCACTTCATCCTCCTCAGTCTGTGGTGAATTCACTCACCCCCACACCTCTGACCTGTACCCCAGTTCTGTGCAAAAGCAAATAAAGAAAAACAAACCTTCAAATAATTGCAATAATTGTTTATGTTTGTGACTACTGAATACTGGAGAATAGTGGCAAGGAGAGAAGCTTTTAATGATTAAGAAATAATTTGAATTTTTAAAAAAGAGTTATTTATTTATGCATCCAAGTACAGGCCAGAGGTGCAGGGGGTGAGAGGCTTCCCCAGAGACAGAGTAGGGGGCAGAACAGGCAGATCTACGAAGCACACTGCTGAGGAGAGCAGCGGGCGGGTCAGGAGAGGTCTGCTGCGCCCTGTGGGTCAGCCCCGGGGTGGGGATTGAACTCGTGCTGAAGTGGCTTTAGCTTCTTAGTGCTTTGTTTTAACCTGCTGTGCCACCAGGGAGGATCCAGTAATTTTAATTTTTTTTTTTTAAAGATTTATTTATTTATTCATACAGAACTGGGGTACAGGCCAGAGATGCGGAGGGTGAGAGAATTCACCAGAGACAGAGCGGGAAGCAGAACAGGCAGATGGATGAAATACACTGCTGAGGGGAGCAGCGGGCGGGCCAGGAGAGGTCTGCCACGCCATGTGGTCACCTCCGGGGCAGGCGGGAATCGAACTCATGCGGAAGCGGCTTTAGATTCTCAGTGCTGTGCTTTAACCCGCTGCGCCACCAGGGAGGGCCAATTTTAATTTTTAATGAAGTGTTATTCTTAAAAACTTAAGAACCAGAAATGTTTGAGACAAAAACTGTTGAGATTTTAAAAATTCATCCTTGGATGGGGCCTTCCCTGGTGGCAAGGGTTAAAGCACAGCACTCTGAAGCTGTCCGCACTCACGGCAGCAAGAGTTCAATCCCCTGGCCAGGGAGTGATCCCCAGGGCGCAGCAGACTCTCCTGGCTCCCCGCTGCTCCCCTCAGCAGTATATCTCAGTATATCTGCTTCCCACTCTGTCTCTGGGGAATCCTCTCAGCCCCCCACCTCTGGCCTGTACTTGGATGCATAAATAAATCTTAAAAAAAAAAATTCATCCATGGACGAATGAATACAGAAAGTGGTACATAAATAATGTGGAATACAATTCAGCCATTAAAAAGTCTGAAAGGGAAGGACAGATTACCATGCGATCTCACCTACATGTGACATCCAAACAAAAGAAAAGGAATACCAGTCTCGTAGGCACAGAACAGACTGGCAGTTGCTAGGGGAAGACAGTGGGTGAAATGGGTAAAGGTCAGAAATACAAACCTGCAGTTACAGGGTAAATAAGCCACGCGTGCAGTGTGAGCCTAGCCACTGCCGTTTATAATGTGTATTGGGGGGTTGCCGAGTACATTTAAAAATTTCTCATGACAAAAATATCACAAGAAGAAAATGGTTTGTTAACTATGTGTGGCGATGGAGGCATTTTGCAATAGATGTAAATGCAGAATGTTGCAGAGCTAAACCTCTGTATGTCCGTTGTACCTCAATTTTAAGGAAATTGTTGAAGAAGTAGAGGGAAGTAGAAAGCGAATTTGATTAATTCTTATTTGAGTTCATTTCTGTTTCAGTTCTTCAGAGGTAAGGAGTTACTGTGTAAAAGCAGGGTTTCATGTGTGTAGTGTGTTTCTTTTAAAACGGAGACGGGAGCTTTAGAGCAGTTCGTTTGCCTCTTCGTAGCACAAAAACAAACATTTTTATTTCCCACCGACTAGGATCACAGTCTCTACGAGCAATTCTCTGGTGACAGCTGAGTTTTTATTGAGGGATATTATCTAGTAGATGATATTGAAAACGTTAACAAGCCTTAAAAATGTGCATCATCTGATCACGTTTTGTTTTGAACAAAATCCATACGAGTGGTTAGCCTTTGGACGTGGGCTTTCCTAAAATATTGAGGAATCAGTGTGATTCGCATCCCAAGTGTCTTAAAAATTGGTAATAATTTACATAGCCTCATGCCTCACTCCTCGCAGGCTTGCGGTGTTCAGAATCGCCCTCCGCCCTCCTCCTTCCCTCCCCTCCCCTCTCCTCTTCCTTCCTTCGCAGCTTCAGGCCGTGGGCTTTCCTGGTTTTTAATTGAGGTTCCCTTTGTGCCGTTCCCACCCATTCCCGCTCCTGGTCCGTGCGGGGCGTTGTGGTGCTCGGGTCAGGCGTGGGAGAACAGTTGATGACAGCCGCGCCAGGCACGTTGGCTCCTTGGGGGTTTCTAGCTGAAAAATGCTGAAAAATGAGGTTCTGTGTAGCAGTTCTGCACACTCTGGGGCTGTGGATGCCGCGAACAGGGAGGTTGACCAAGTTTCCCCTAGCTCTCCAGCAGTTCTTGACTTTCACTATTAAAGTTTTCATGAAGCAGTAAACTTGTGGCCTGGAGGCGAGACCCGAGGTTTGTCTGAAGCATATACTCATTAAAGTTCATGATCAAAAAATGATGGCTGATTATTGAAGAAAAATGTTTGTTACGCTTATCATAAAATGGTAAGAGATTTGTATGCCATTTGGCTAGAGTAAAAAGAAAATGACGGTGTTTGAAGGCTCTGTGGAAAATCTTAGCAATCCAGAACAACTCATTCCACGATGTAGTTGTAGAGCAAGCTTGTTTATTGACTTCAGCTATTTTGCTGTGTAGATTTTTAGAACAGAAAGAATTTACAAATCTTTCTAGATGAGTTCTTTTACTACTTGGAAAACTGAGGTCCAAACTGAGTGACTTTTTGATGCATGTGACTTGTTTAGGGGGCTAGAATTCAGGCGACGCCTTCATGAGCTGTAAGATAGAAGATTGTGTTCAAATGGCAGGAAGCTGCTTTGTGTTATAGCAGCCACCGGGTACAAGTGTTGACTTAAATTAAAATGAAATGAAAAATTTAGCTTCTCATTTGTACTTGCAGAGGCCCAATAGCCACCTGTGTCTAGTGGTTACAGAGAATATTTCCATGTTACAGAAAGTTTTGCCAGTCTAAATAAAATATAACTTATTTTCCGAAGAAAGAAGATTTAGTTGGGTTTCAAAAAGAACAAATGTTATGCAGAGGTGGCTAGAATGCAAACTAGCCTTACTCTGCTTTGCTGTTGCTGGAAAGTTCTATTAATAAAACAGTGAAAAGTACATATCATGACTAATTAATTCTCAAACTGAACATTTGAATTTCAAGGATGAAGAAGACGATGATGACTATGTTGAAGAAGGGGAAGAAGAGGAAGATGAAGGTGAGCTACATTAGCCATTAAAGAATTGTAAAGTTCGGGCCCTCCCTGGGGGTGCAGCGGGTTAAAGCACAGCACTGAGAAGCTAAAGCCGCTTCTGCATGAGTTCGATCCCCGCCTGCCCCTGAGGAGATCCACATGGCTCTGCAGACCTCTCCTGACCCGCCCGCTGCTCCCCTCAGCAGTGTACTTCGCAATCTGCCTGTTCTGCTCCCCACTCTGTCTCTGGTGAAGGCTCTCACCCTCCGCATCTCTGGCCTGTACTCCAGCTCTATATGAATAAATAAATAAATCTTAAAAAAAAAAAAAAAGAATTGTAAAGTTCAAGTTACCGTTATTTTTCATGGATTTTTAAAAAATGAGTCTGTATCTCAAATTAGTGTAGATTTCTTCGATTTTGGAATCACGTCATTGAATGCTTAAGATGTAGAAAATTTTTTATAAAAAGCAATTTTCTCGGGCATTCGTTAACTCAGTGAAACAAATACTTGTAACAGGAGCATTCTAAAGAATAAAAAGATAAAGGACACTTGAGCTCCGTTAACTTTAGGTTTCATTTGGGGTTTATGAAGTCTTATGTGGAAGGGTATTTTTATCCAAACTCCAGATAATACACCTTTTAGGTTTTCTCTGTGGTATGCATTATCTGAGTCTTTAGTTTTTTGTTTTAAGACTTATTTATACATACAAAAAAATGGGGTACAGGCCAGAGGTGCAGGGCTGATGAAAGGATTCACCAGAGACAGAGTAGGGAGCAGAACAGGCAGATTAACGAAGTCCACTGCTGAGGGGAGCAGCGGGGAGACAGGAGAGATCTGCTGTGCTCTGTGGGTCAGCTCTGGGGAGCGAACTCGTGCCGCAGCGGCTGCAGACAGCCTCACAGTGCTGTGCTTAACCTGTTGTGGCCACTAAGTCTTTAGTGTCTAAAATTCACTAACCACCCCATTAATGTCAAGCCCAGGCTTCCTGGTCGTCATGGCTTGCCCTCAAGGATCATAGCAAGCTTTTTAAGACTGTTCAATACACTGAAATTGAAAGGAATTTAGAGAGGAGACAACTTTTTTCTTCCCAAGTCATTAATTTTTCATTAAAATAGTTCAAAACTTTGTAACTTAATTAACTAACTTTGTAACTTCGTTACTTAACTTTGTAACCTAACCATTTGTTAGGTTAAGTATTCTCCAATTTGCCTTACATTTTCTTTTAGAAGAAGAAGGTCGTCGAGGGGAGAAGAGGAAACGAGAAGCTGAGGATGATGGTGAGGAAGATGACGACTAGGTTGTCCAAGGACCTGACTCCCTCACGCTCCAGGGCGTGGCTGACCCATCTTCTCTGTCTCTCCATGCAAGGCGGCTGTCCCTGCAGAAGATACATGCAACTTTTTATAGGAAAAGTGTGGTTTTACTATTTTTGCCTTATCATTCCAAATAAGATTTACTAGTCTGTTACTGATCATATTGTATGTAGAGAAAATTTTTCATTGACTCCATTGTGAAATTCCCTAGCAACTTATTTAGAATCTTAATTTTTCTAATTCAAGCTAACTGTTAGTCATTTTTAGCCCAAAATTAAAAAAAAATCACTTTTTACACAGGTGTAGTATGGTGCATTTCATTCATAAGGTTTAAAGTTATTTATACATGAACTGAGATCCCAGTGGGCTGGAATTTAAATTGAACAGTCTCTTGAGTGGTAAATCGACGACTATTTTGTTCTAGAGGTGACCCAGAGAGCTTTAGTGTGAAGCAGTGACTTTGTGTGTGTGTGTGACTAAGGGTATTTGGGTGCTTTCTGTCATGATTTGTAGAAAGCAGGGGCGGGATAGAGAGTAGAGGTTCTGGTCACAATGTAGTTCATGGCTTTTGTTAAGACACCCAAAGCCTTTCAGCCAGGTGACTGATAAGATTCTATTTTTGAAGGAAAAATTGCTTCTGCTAAGTGCAGGGGAACCCTTTGTGCAAGCTGAGCCCAGGGCATGCCGCGGACCAGCTTTCACTGGTGGGAAGTGTGTGCTCTTCCTGCCCCTCCGGTTCCTTTAGCATCATCACTTTCCTCTTTAGCCCCTCCCTCCATCTCAGAGAAGCTGGAAAGCTTGGATACCCAGGAAAGCCTTTCTGTCTTATACCTCAGCCACCTTTTCAGACCCGTTTCAGTTTTAAGCACGCTAGGTGCGTGAAATGGAATATTTTCTGAAAGACATATATTGTTACCAGCAGTTTTATGCAACAGACTCTGCTTACTGGAAATCTTTTCTCGGCTAATGACATGTACAGACCGCGTGAGGATAAAGAGTTTAAAGAAGTAGAGGAGGCTTCTGGGAGCAGCATTAGTATTCCTCAAAGTCAGAGCAGTTCATTGCCTGTTGGTAATGAGTTGCTCCAGTGAGATTTTTAAGTTGGCTTCCCAATAATTTAGGTATCAGCCTGCAAACTACTTGTAATTTTTCTGAGTAGAACCTTTAATTCTTGTAGTTTTAGAGCATTACCAGATACTGCACAGTTGGAAAAATATTGGAAACTAACTCAATATTCAATTAAGATTTGTTTTCAAGCCCAGCCATTGAAAATAGCAAGGTATTGGGAATAAGTGTGAGTGCGTTTCCTTATATGGCTACTAAACACACCGTGAGTAGATGAGAGCATCTTCCCTGCTGTGGAGGCTCCGTGTTCAAGGCAGCTGCTTCTTCTAATTTTGGTTATCTAATTCTACCCCCTCCCTTAAGAGTATAAGCTTCTTCAAAGTAATGCTGGCAAATTAATTAAAATTATACTTCCATACTGGGACCGTTTAAATTACTGAATACAGGAATGCTTCTCTCGTAGTTTACAATTTATGACTTGGGTTTCAAAGTAAAAATTAGGCAGTTAGTTGTGTGGATAAACTTAAAAACAACTGACAAAACTCTTGGGATCAATTTTGTGGGAGAATGGAATCTCCAAAAGGCTAACATTGTACTCCTTTTTAATAACTGAAATACTGTTTTTGTCCTAAGAATTCTCATTTTGCTCTGCCAGATTACGGAAGTTATTTTTAAAATAAATCAGTATATTGGCTTTCTTATCAATCATCTTGTTGTGCAATCACAATTAGGGTTTTTTGCTTTGAAAACAACACTTAGAGCCTCCTGGTAACTTTTTAAGACTTATTTAGCTTTGTGGGTGGTATTTTCATGCAAATAAGTAAGGGTGGGTTTTATATTTTGTAGAAGTTTTTGGTCCTATTTTAATGCTCTTTGTATGGCAGTATGTATATAGTGTGTTAAATTCTTCAAAACTCCTTTTAAAATCTTTGAAGTTAATACTTTTGTGCAACTGTGTTTTGAATAAAGCCATGACAGTGTTAAGAAACAAAGAAACACAGTACTCCCGATTATTCTTTTGTTTGACTGTTCCTGTTTTTTTTTCTGTGACTGCTGTAACTTAACATTTTTGAAACCAAATTGCTTCAAATAAATTGAAGATTTGTTGTTAATGATTAGTTTCATTGTATCACGTTTACTTTTTGAACAATACCACTAGGGGCTTTGAAGGTCTGTAAAAACCGAGAAACAACTTGAAAGAACTCACTAGCTCATGTGCCTCAGTAACTTCTAAGAAAAGTTTGAATTCCTTCTTTATTGTCCATTTGGAATTTAAAATTGAGCTAGTCCTTTTTGTGTTTTGATTGAAAGTAACAGGTTGAAGTAACCATTAACTCCAGTGATTGTAAAACTATTGTGCATTGATAGTTTTCTAAAATGAGTCCAAAGTTTCGACTTTACTGTATGTGGGTAAATCTTTCCTTCTCTCTTGGTTTTCCTGTGTAAGTGATTTTTTTAATGTTTCATTTTTAGACAGTTCTGGAATGTCTTGTGAAGTCAAGGCACAAGTATAATGTTTAGCGATTGCTTTACAGTTTAATAATGAAAAGATGATTTTACTTTTGGAACTCTGCTTCCTGAGGGGTGGGAAACTGATGGGTATTTCAGCTCCATCTTATTGAAATTAGTGGGTTTGTTTTTGTCTTTACAAAATCGAGACTCTTCCTATTTGGCTAAAGAAAATGGTGGAACTATACTAAAAGATTCCAGTGGAGGTGTTAGATAACCTAGCAGTGGGGATTCTGTGAGGGACTGACTCAAACCATGTCGAGTGTTGCTTGTTTCTTACTCCGTGTTTTAAAGGGCTTTAGAACACGTGACTGCAGTTGCTAACAATTTCCCCGTTGCTAGCACCAGATACTCCGCAGCTGTTGCTTAATAATAGCATTCTACCACTGCATTCCTTTTTCATGTACTAATCAGTCTCAAGATGCAAGGACCGGGCTTGGCTCATTAGCGGAGGCAGCTACTTATGTTACTAGTCTACTGAACAACTTGAAGGGAAAAGGTTCTACCACACAATGGACATGACCGAATGAGTTGATTTCCAGGTGAATCTTTCAGAAGCCGTTATAGACCCATAAGACGCTTCAGCTACATCTACCCGCTTTCGGTGGTTAGGGCGCCCAAGCAGGTTCGGCCCAGAACACCAAGGCTGATTAAGAAACAGTACGATGAGTATCCGCAGCTCATGTGCCTTTTGCTAAGGCCGGGAAGTGCGGAGCCCGCGCTGCCGCCCCTGGCTCAGTACTCACTGCGCCGACGGGCAGGGCCTCTGCGGCCACTTTTCCCGGGAGACCCACCCGTCCGCCCCCGAACTAGCTCAGGGGGTCCCCTGGCACTG